CACTGGAGAATTATCAGGGGTTAAGTAATAAAAGGACTGAAGATCATGAACTGATGAAACTTGAATGAATCTTAGCAACTGATGCTACTCTTATATATGCATCATTTCATTGAATTGTTACAATCAATCTAGGGTAGTGTCAAGTCTCAAAGAGTAAGAGTTCAAGTTTCTGTTTCAACTGCCATCTGACTGATATTCTCTGGCTCATTTCAAGCCACTCTTGCAAGACACCAGACTGCATGAGGTCAGCCTCTACCCAAGCGCTATCCATCCCAACCCTGGGAGTCCTCCCCAGGCCAGGCCAGCTTCCTTTTGCAGCGCTTCCTCTGCTGCTCCTCCCTGGAGGGTAAGAAGCTGGGATGCAAACATCCTCTGCACTCCTCTGTGGGAGCCTCAGTCCTTCCTTGGCATGTAGCACCAGATTCTCCAAGGAAGTGAGTGGCAGGATGCGGCCAAAGGAAAGAATGAGGAGAGCCACTCCAGGGAGAAGATGGACAACTTGCTGGGGCTGGGGTAGGCAGACACCTTGCCCACATCAGATCGGGCCCTAGCCGAGGGCCTTCCACCTGTCATGACACTTGAACAGTTGGCCTCACAAGCTACTGGAAGACACCAACTTCAGAAGGAAAGGACCGAATTAATTGTTCCCATTGTCTCTCCAGTGACACATGAGAGGCTCTCAAATTTTGAGAACTCTCTTGCTTTAGTAAAGTATCTTGTTCTTGCTGAGGTCCATTCTGACCACCTTTTAAAGCTAGCCAGAGCTGGGCACAGTGGTAGACACTCGGGAGCTAAGGCAGGAGTATCACTATGATTTGAGGTAACGCTGGGCTACACAGTGAGTTCAAGGCCAGCCTGAACTATAGAGCGAGACCCTGTCTCAGAAAGAAAAGAAAGAGACAGACAGACAGAGAGAGAGAAGCAAGCAAGCAAGCTAGCTAGCTAGCTATAGTGCCTGGGGGAATTCCAACTCCTGCTCTAATTCTTTTTTCTACACAACTCATATCACCTGCTAATGCACTGTTTATTACTTAAGCTTACGTTCTGTCATTTATGCTTCCTATTCTTTAAAAAAGAAAGTTTCACAGCAACAGAAACGTTGCTTCAAGGATAACGTCTAGCATCTAGGATGATACTACACATAAGCACTGACAAATACCTGCTAAATCAATGAATGAAAAGTTGTACAACACAGAGATTAACTAGGCAAAGAATGTTGAGGTAGGGCCACAGGGTCCTCAGAGCATCTCTCTATCCTGTTCTTAAGGTGCAAACCATCAGCAAGGTCATATGGACCTCTTATGAGGTACTCTGCTCAGGATATCATTGTGGCCCCTCCCCTAAACCAAGGATCCAGGACATCCAGCTCTTAGGAAAGGAGAATCTCAAAATGATATTATTAACTATTATTTACTAGAGTCAAATAGATCAAGTCCAGATGTCTCTTTTATGAAACCCTGGCACCCTGAGTAAGATGTCTGGAGAGAAAGCTCTAGTTTGTACTGATTCCTAAAGGGTAGAATCAGGTATCTTGCAGTTTCTCAGTCCCCAGGTCCAGAGAAGCCTCTCCTAATACATTGAATTCATTTCTCCCCTAGAAATGGGGAGCAGCACTATGACCCTCCAAAGGACCAGCTTCTTCTAAGGACAAGGAGGGAAAGTATACCAGAACGACCTGGGTATTGCCACAGTACACAGCAAGGGTGGCTCTCCCTCGGATAACCTAGGGAGCCAGGGGTGGGGATAACAAGCAATGCCAGCAGTCCCACTGAGAAATGCCCACGTCCTGTCCCATACCCTGTTTCTCCCTGAAAACTGTGCCCAGGCAGAGGAAAATAAAGTTGCCAAGCAGACCTGGCATGCTCTAGCCAGAGGAGCTGAGATAGTGATATAACCAGCTAAGATAAGAGGGCCTCTCAGAGCTCAGTGCTGTGGATAAGAGAGTCTAGGCCACCAATCTTGCTGCAAGCCACCAACCAGGGCAGACATTAGCCTCACAAGCCTCTAGCCCAGCCCCAAAGTCAGGTGTCTTCACAATTACTCCTAGTTGGTCTGCGAAGTTCAGGAAACTAAACCTTGCCACATTATCTCTAGAAGCTCCTGTCAGTAGTCAGCGTCTCCCAAGGATAGAAGGGGATCAAGAAGAGGATCAAAGATGGCAGAGGCTCCAAACTTTCCAGCTCCATGTACCAGTGTTCCAGAAAGCCAGTAAGCCCTACAAGAGAACCTCTCAGCTCCAAGCAAGGTTGAAATGGAATATTATGGAATTCTCAGACATTCCCTTAAAGCAAGAGAGAATGTGCTCTCCTGTCCCATCTCCCAACAGGGTGTCCAGAATGGACAGTGTAAGCCTTGCCAGCCTGGAAAAGAGAGCAGCAGGCAAGATTTTGCACTCAGGAAAGATCCTCTGCTTAGTCTGTGATCAGTCCTAATTCCTGGCTCCCCCAAGGAACAAGGGAAGTATCAGGGGCCAAAGGAACAGGATAGCAGGTAGGACGGGTCACTGTTCCCTATTACTGAGGAGTATCTTCCCTGATCTCTACAGACTTTGTTTTTAAGACAGGGTCTCACTAAGTTGTTGAAGTTGGTCTTGAACACTATGTAGTCCAGGTTGACCTCGAACTTATGGCAATCCTCCCACCTCAGCCCTAAAGCGCTGGAATTACAGGCATGCACCACCATGCCTGGGCAAGAGACTTCAGAAGATTACTAAATCATGAGACTTCAGCTGATTTCTGATAAGAAGCAAATACCCTCAGTCCAGCAGGTGTTTCCAAAAGGTCCAAGAGCCACCCAAAGGCCTATAAATGCCTGCTATGTTTTATGCTTTTAGGGAAGCTGACAAGTTCCCTGTCCTTGAGTGTTGGCTATGTGCCAGGTCATCAATGTTCATGACATTTTCATCTTCTTGGCAACTTCTGTAAAAATAAGGGTTAGCATGGTTAATTGACTCAGCTAAGGTCACACAGCAAGAACTCCACAAGGCATGATTTAAAGTCACCTGATGCCTAAAAGGGATTACCAAAAAAAAAAAAAAATCTTTTTAAAGACACAGCCTTGCTATTTAACATAGATACACTATGTTGCTCAACCTGCAACCTTCCCTACTCAGCCTCCTGAGTCCTGAGATCAAAGGTTGGTAGCACCTCGTTCAAAATTCTTAACAAACATTATGTTTGGGGAAAACTCTGTCAGACAAGGAGAATCTTTTCTGCCTTTTTTTGGGTACAAGAGAACGAACTCACAACATTGCACTTGTCAGGCAGACACTTATACCGCTGGGACAAATCAACTTACATGTTATAAAAATGTAAAATGTAAGCTCTGGCTTACATTTTATAAAACTTTTCCTTTTTCTTCCATGGTCTATTGTCTTTTTCTCTTTTTATTTATTTATTTATTTTTTGTCTTTTTCCTTTTTATCGGTACCAGGGATCGAACTCACGACTGCCTGCTTGCAAGGCAGGTGCTTATGCCGCTGAGCTAAATCCCCAGCCCCTCTTTTTCTCTTTTTAAACGAACATGAAGGCTGGAATATAGCTCAGCAGCATAAATGCCTGTCTGGCAAGTGCAAGGTTCTGATTTTGATTCCTGGTACCTCCTCCCCAAATAAACAAATGAACATAGGTCACGTGGGACTACAGGGCCTTTTGTTTTTTAATGCTGTTGCCTATTAAAAAGTTACCAAGTATTATTTTAATATAATTAAAATTAAAGAGACTTCTAAAAATATAGTTAAAATTATACTACTCTACCAAAGACACTTCATTACCTCAAAGAAGAGTAGGGATGCAGAATGACCTCAGATGCTGGAGATGCTATCTCAAGCCGAGAGGAAGAGCTGGGTTTGAGTACTGACTGTCACAAATGAGTTCCATGTGGACTGATGATTTAAGAAAACTAACCCTAAATTCCGTGTTCATAAAATAAAGTAGCACCATCTCTCCCATGAACCATCCCTCCCCACACTTGCCTGTGCCCCAGATCACACAGACCCAGATCTTCCTCCAAAGCCACTTCTGACCTCGGCTTCCCCTGGATGGGCCCCACCTTCTCTGTGGCAGGCCTGATCTTCCACCTGCATTTCCTTGTTGGCTGACACACCCTTCTCCCTCTCTTGCCTCCCTTCCTGCTCAGAACCCCTCCGCAGGACCTGGACTCCTTACAGAGCGCCCAGCGCCCAGGGTAAGGGAGCTTGCTCCAACAGTGAGAATTAGAATCCCCTTAGAAAGGGGTGGTGATCTAAACCCCGCCCTCCTCATTCAAAGATCACCTGCCTTGGATGAGTGTCTCTAAGGGTTACAATTCCGCTGTCCTAGTTACACTCATTTCTCCCCACGACCCAAGGCCCAGTATGTCCACCAGCCGTCCAGACACAGCAAACCAAGTTACACTTTCTTTGGCAAGAAGTATCCACTACCTGCCAATTCCCACCGCGCAACCGCCGCCTGTCGGCGTGGAAGAGAGACTAGCTTTAAGCACTAAAGGTGTCCGAAGGCGTGGGGGGGGAGGCCAAGACGGCGAAGCCGCTCCCGCTGGCTTCCTGTGTCCGGGGATTACGAGGCACAAAGGGAAGGCAAGGAGAGCCCAGATGGCAGGGGCAGGGGCTAAGCCGCCAAGGTAACGCCGTCAGCGGAGGCCGGGTCGCGGAAGCCCCGCTCCCGGCCCGGGCGCCCTGCGTGCGAGTCCCGGGACTCCGCCTGCGAACCTCCGTCCGGAACGCTGCCTGGCTGGACACCTGTTCCCTTGCTCCCGAAAGCCAACACTACCGTGCAAACCTAAACCCCAAGTTTGGTCATCGGGAGCAGTCAGGCAGAGAAGTTCTTAGCGGCACTTTCCACAGGTGTCTTTCTCCCAGACTAACCCAACGGACGGCACCAGGGCGAGGCGGAGGAACCGGGCGCAGCCCTCCCTGCCCGGGAAGCCAGGGGTCTCGGTCCTTCCCGCCTCCTCGCGCGAGCACTGGGCACCCCAACGGGTAGGTCGCGCCCAGCACTCACCTGAAACCCGGGCCGGCCCCCACCAGGGCCTCGGGAGTCTCTGCGCCTGCAGCCGGCTTCGCTCGCTCCTTCGCGCTGGCCCACGGGCTGCCGGCCGCCACCTCCTTCCTGCTCACCTCCAGCGCGGGGCGCCGGGAGAGGCGGGGCGCAAGGGCGGCGGAGCCGACGCTATTTACATAGAGGGCGAGCCGGCCGGGCCGTGACTCCGAGAGCCCGCCCCCGGGCCCGGCCGGCCCCCGCAGCCCCGCGCCCCCGAGGCGGGGCCCTGACAAGGGCGCTCTCCAGGGGCGGGGCAGCTCTCCAGCCAATCGACTGCTCCCAGAGCGCAGGGGCGGAGCCTCGACCCGCCCTGGGCCTCACCGGAGCACACCTGGTCGCAGGGTGGCGCGCCACGCCCAGTGTCCCGCCGCCTCCAGGAGGAGGAAATAGTTCCTGGCACACGGGGCGACCTCCAGCTCGTCTCTCGGACCCTGCTCCTGGCGGGAGTCTTCCTCCTACCACAGCTCACCCGGAGCTGTCGAGGGAGGGGCGTAGCGCAGACGGCTCCTCTGGAAAATGAGCCAGGGAAGGGTGGTGGCGGACTAGGGCCAGGTTTCAGGACCCACAGGGGCCCAGAGCCGTGCAGCCCCTTCCCTTGGGACGAACCCTTCCCCCACATTCCGTGGCTACTCCAGAGGCAGGCAGGCACCGGAAGTCCCAAGGGACAGTGAAGAGGCTGGAACTTTTTTAGCTCAAGCAAAGGGAGGGACTGAAGTGACCAGAGGCCAGAGTGGAAGGAGCACGGGGACCAACAGGGACCGCACAGCTGCTGGAGATGGACGTGGGCTTCAAGGTCACCATGGTCACCCTTTCCATGCCGACCTGGCCGCGCTCATAGACCAATGTCACATTGGCTTCACTCTCCTCATACTAATCAGGAGCCCAGCCACGGCACAAGCAAGTGCAAAGGCACTCCTGTCCTGTCCCCACCCCGGGGTTTCCAGATCTTAGGTTCGTGTCAGGGAAGCGGCTCTCCCCAAGTGGACAGGTGAGATGTCCAGTACTTTCAGCCACGGTAGAAAAATCGATTTTTAATGGCTTTGGCTTTATGGCAATGAAGCAGGCACCCTCTCATTAAAGGCACAGAGTCCTCATCTGCCCCACCTCCTGGGTCTCTAAAGGCAGAGCTCTGAGGCTTGGGGCTATGAAGCCCTGCAGGCAAGGCAAGGGAGCGGGGCATGGGGCTTGGCATCACACTCTTTCAAGAATCAGACATCCTGGGCCAGGGCCTGAGCTGGCCCCTACTGCCTCAGGTCAGAGGTAGGGCTCAAGGGCAGCTGGGATGCTCCCTGAGAACAGATAGCCCAGGTTCCCCACAGCAGGCTCCAGCCCCACCCCATGTTGTCAGTGTTCCAGATCCTTGGGCAGTGTGAAGTCCCTGAAACTGTAGAAGGAGATGTCACCATGATCCACCACAGCAAAGATCAGAGGGACATCCCCGCTCTGGAAGGTTAACCGCTTGAGGCAGCAGAGGTCTGGGACGGGCTCATCAAATCTGTAGGAGACAAGGATTGGACTGAGACCTGGGTATAGCCCCTCACCAGGTTCCCATGAAAGAGAGATTATAAGACAGCCCGAGGGTGCAAGAATTCTGGTCCCTGGGTTCTCCTATCTACAAGCTAGTGACTGATGACTTCCAGAAAGCCCCACTGTCCTGGTTGGGGAGGAAGCTGGGAACAGCAAGGTTCTCAACAGTGTTAGCCTTTAAACTCTTCCAATCCACATCTGGATTCTGTTGGGTGAGCCCAGACCTAATGTGGCATAGGAGAGAATCTATGCCGCAATGTGACAATGAGGAGCCAAGGGCCTAGGAAGCCTGGGACTACGGCACTAACTGGCTGTGTTTCATTGTGTAAGTCAATTAACCTCTCTGGATCTAGGGTTCTTTCTAGGGATTGGCACAGTGGCCTGGGGTGGGGTGGGATGGAAAGAGGTCTATATGTTCACGCAGCCAGAGGGTGGCGCTGGCTCATCTCATACCCACTAATGCACATCCGGGCATAGGGCTTCCCAGGGCTGTTCTTTCGGAACATGGCCACAGCGTCAGCCTGGTAAACGTCAAAGCTGATCTCCAAGCCTCCAGGCTTCTCCAGCAGCCTAAGAACAGAGTAAAAACTTTAGGACAAGGATTTTCCTCTCCCACCGCCTTCACTATTTCTAGTAAACAGCCTCATCCAAAGGAACTAAGGCTGTGAAGTGCCAGTTGAGGGGGCGGGGCTCCCAACAAAGCTACCAGCCTGCCATTCCTTCCTCTCCCCTAGACACACATGAACACAAACAGTAATCACTGAGCTAAGCTGTGGGTGGGGTCCTCCAGGTTACACCCAACCCAGCAGCCCACTCCCCACTGTCAAACCACATAGTTGCCAAGTGCCACGGAGAAGAGCACCGCCAGAAACTTACCAAGCACCGCCATCAGCAAGGTGTGCTGTCTGCAGCACGGAGATATGCTCGAGGACTGCAGCTACAGGACAATAAAAACCAAGTGTTGGAGGGAAGTCAGCCTGCTGCACCGCCCTCAACGTGGCTCAATCTGTTACCTTGGTTGGGGCTGCCAGATTCATCAGTTTTTTTTTTTAAGTTTTTGTACTTTATTTGTGTGTGGTACAAAGGACTGAACTCAGGAGCACTCTACCACTGAGCTACATCACATCCCAGCCCTATTAAAACGTATTTATTTATTTTGCCTTGCTAGTGGTGGAACCCAGGCATGTGCTACCACCGAGTTACATTCCTACACCTCCCTGCCCATTTTTTCCTTTTATTTTAAACCAGGATCTTGCTAAGTTAGGCTAGGTTCAAACTTTACAGTCCTTCACCCTCAGTCTCTTAGAGCAGTGATGGGGAAAGAATCTATGGCATGCACACTAGCACAGGCTGTTTGTATCACAGAAAGCTCTAAAAGGTTTGCCATCACTGTCCTAGAGTATTGGGATTATAGGTGTCCACCACCATACCCAGCTTATTTTTTTCAGACTAGATTTCACTAAATTGCCCAAGATAGGCTACAACTTGCAATTCTCCTACCTCAGGCTCCAGAGTAGCTGGGATTACAGTATGTGCCAACACAACTGGCCCAAATTTTTTTTAGAATAAGTCCAATGTAATATTTGGAATGTATTTATGCTAAGAAATTAGCTATTAATCTAAATTTAAATGTATCTAATTTGCTGACACTATTTTGGCTTGCTATGATCTATATGATAGTCCCATGACAGTTCTGAATCTGTCACCACATTTAGCTGAGGCCATTCCTGTCCACCTGGCTTTGGCTATTTTTTTTTTTTAAATCAGTACCAGAGATCAAACTCAGGACTGTGCGCTTGCAGGGCAGGTGCTTAAGCAGCTGAGCTAAATCCCCAGCCCCTTGGCTATGGTTTTAAGGACACAGTTTCTCTCCTCCCTGCCTCTCCCTGGGCACTGACCACCCATCACTATACCCTGCCCTGCAGGCTCTGCTGTCCACAGAACTGGCTGTCACTGTGGGTTCCATTGCAGCTGACAGCTCTCTCCTCTCACATTCTAAACCTGTTAGTCCGAGGGAATCCAGGTCCTTTCCAACGTCCGTGAATCCTTAGCTGCCACTGGCCTGCAAGGTTACAGCAGAGTAAAAAGGGTACCTGGGGAGTCTGCCTGACCCGGGCTCAGCAAGGGAGTGACAGGCTGACACCAAAGGTGTGGGGGGCAGCTGTGAGTCTTCTGTAGGTGTCGCCTCTGCAGCAGTTCCTTGTACTCCTGCCAGTTGGAGCAGCGCTGCACCTCAACATCTGTGTTTATGTCCTCCCGGAACTGCCAGGCCTTTGCTTGCTGCTCTCGCTCCCACTGGGAAAGCTTCTCCTTTCGCTGGTTCAGCTTCTGGCACCAGGACTCAGCATCTGTCTCCCGCCCAGCAACATTGGCCGGCAGCAGCTCTGGGGCTGGTACAGCCAGGAGCGTATGGTGGCTATCTGAAGCCATGTTGGGGAAGGAGATCTGCTCAAAGTTCCAGCGTGGCTTAGGAGCCCCCTTGACTCCATTCTCTGCTTTGCCACTCTCCTGACCACACTCCTGGTCCTCCCTTGACAGACCAGGGCAGGGCTTCAGGGATCCCAGAATCTGAAATGGGACCCCCAAGCCCTTCATGTAGCTTGTCTCTTGAGGTTTCTCCACTGCGTACTCGCTGTTCTGGATGCTGGCAGGTGGGCTGGAGGCTGCCAGGCTCATGGGTAGCAGGGAATTCTCCGGGGCCTTGGCCTTCTTATTAACAGGCCTGAGGAACATGGGAAGAAAAGCAGCAATGTGTTCCTGATCATTGAGGCGCATGTGTTCCACATGAGCTGAGGAAGGCAGGTCAAGGGCTGTCCCCTGAGTTGAGAGCTGCCCAAGTGTAGCTCCATACCCCACACACTCCCGGAGGGCTCAGGCACTAGTACTCCCTAGGGGGTAGTACAGTGTGGGGTATTACCAAGAGCTGGAGACACTCCTCTTCCTCTTGCCAGTTCCATCCTCTAGGTACTGGGCATAGCCATCCAAATTAAGCTGCCTCTCGTAAGGGGACAGGACAGAGCTGTAGGGCGAGAACAGCGGGCAGGCAACAGATCCATCTCCTCAGGTTGGTGTTCCTGGTGGAGGTTTGTAAGGGACTGGCCAAAAGGACACATCAGGAGCCAGGATCAGAGCCACACCCAGGGGCGAAGGCTCTAAGCAAATCTGCATAAGGGCACAAGCAGTGGTCACAGGGGCCCAGTCATGCCTTTGCCCAGGCCTCTGGGTGTCATCAATGGCCCCCTTGAACAGAGGCTCATTAGAACTGGGGCTCCTAAAGGGCCAGCAATACATGAATCATCAGACTCGGGGGTATAGCTCAGTGGCAGAGAACTTGCCTTGGCTTGCTAGATTGGGACCCTGCGTATGACCACAATAAATAAATAGTCTCGGGGGCTGGAGATTTAGCTCAGTGGCATAAGCGCCTGCCTTGCAAGCAAGCAGTCGTGAGTTCGATCCCTGGTACCGATAAAAAGGAAAAAGACAAAAAAAAAAAAAAAAAAAAAAACAACAAAAAAAAAAAAGAAATAATCAATCTCTAGCAAGAAGAACCAAGAGGAACTAAAAAACTTTGAAAATTCAGAAAAATGAAGATGAAAATAATGCCAAACATGGTGGTGCAGAAAAGCCAGTATCATCAAAGGGAGAAAAAAACAATGGCTAATCACTGTAACACTGTTTACTGTACATACAGACTAACTAATGTCTCCCATGTTTTTTTTTCTGGCAAAAATGTCACTGCACCAACTTGCTGCTTTGTAATCTTCTTTGCACTCAATACCGTACTGAAGACTCAGCTCTTTATAGCATTCCTCCAGGCCATAAATTTATGATGGCACCCAATGTGACACTGTTCAATATACCTGCCTATCATGTTAACTGCAATGAAATGAAATAAAATGAAAAACTCACTCCCATAGTTGTACAAACCATAATACTAGCCTAGGCACAAGACATTTCATCACTACAGAAAGTTCTATGCACAGCATGGTTCTAAGAGAGACTCTAGTTTGAGCATACCTCTGCTGTTGAACTCTTAGACTACTTCTAAGTACACTAATTTTGCAAAGTGAAGGTATTTTGTATAGACAGCTCACTGAAGGCAAGCATCATTAAACCAGTGCTTTAGCTCCACTATGTTTTAGCAACAAAGACAGGGCACAAGTAACTGCTCAATAGTATTGCTGAACAAAGGAGAATTCTCATGAGAGCACCTCTGTATGTGGACATGATTATTTCCCTAAAATCAACTCCACTTTCAGAAAATAAGGGATGTGTCTATTTTAGAGCTTTGAGGACATACCATCTAACTGTAAATACTATACCAGTTTCCACCCCAAGTCTGAAGATCTCTATGGCTCTTGGCAGTACTGGATTGCTAAGTGATGAAAGAAAGAACATCTAACCTAACTGAAGTATAAACTTAAATACAAACTCCTCACTTGACCCATTATTCATACATGTACTTCACAAATCTGCCTTTATGCCTACCAAGCTCAAGGCACTTTGCCAGTGCTCTCAATGAGCTGCACGTATGCAATCATCTGAAGATGAGTCTCGATTTGATGTGGTAAGAAGTGTAATGGTATTCTTCTCTGATGCCTAAGAGCAATTCCAGGGGAGGCCTGCAATCAATGTCCAAGGAGTGGTACCCCAGCAAAAGGCTCCAGCTAAGTAGGGGAAACTGGTCAGCCAGATCTCTGAACTAGAGTAAATGGGAGAGAAAGGAAGAGGGACTTACCTTGGTTGGAATCGTTGAACCACGTAGCCCAGCCTCTTCAGGTGGCTGAAGACCTCAAATGAACAAAAGTAAAGTTCAAATGTCCACTCATTTATTACTATTTCTTAAAAATCTCTAGCCCTTTTTTAAATTTATTTTTTATTTTGAGGTAGAGTCTCACTAAATTGCCAAATTGGCCACACTGGACTCAAATTTGTACTCCTGCCTCATCCTCCCAGAGTGCTAGGATTATAGGAGTGCACCTCCATACCTAATTCAAAATGGAGTTCTTTTGACTGGTTCCAGTTGGCCCTTCCCTCAGTATTTAGAGTCATAAAATGGTATCATCTGTCCACTGGCTCATGTCCACATCATGGACATACTGTCTCCTGTCTGCAGTACTGAGGACTGGACTCAGGGCCTTGTACATGCAAAGCAAACCTTCTACCACTGTTATACCCTTAGTCCCCATGGACATAATCCCTGATTCTTCTCTCTTCTTAATATGAAACTCAAACCAATGGCAAAGTTCTATTTTTCTTTCTAAGATATATTCATTCATTTTCATTCACTGACACCCACCCCAACTCCAACCTGAACTAAGCCTCTCTTCTCTCCCTTGTAGCTCCAGCACGTGATACTGTGTTAGCACCTTGTGAGTATTTGTTACTATGCACTTACTCAGCAAATGAGGGGTCAGGGAGAGGTACCTGGTACTGCAGGAAAGTCACAGTGTCCCCCGTGAGCAGCAGCTGGTAGGCCTCCTGGATAGACAGCGGCAAGTCTTCGTAAAAAAGCTGAATGGAACCCTGGAAGCGGGATCAACAGCTCTGCTGTGCATTTTTCCTGCAGGGTCACAGCCAAATGGGGCAATCTCCCCACCACTCAGTGAGAATACTGCCAACTGGGAAAGAGGTACAGCACCCTGATTTTGGCCGAAATCCCTGATCCCTGTGTAGTGTTTTTTTAAATAACTTTTATTAATACATTTGTGCTATGCAACTAACTCATTCAACGCAAGGAGTTGGTACAAATACATATAGCATCTTAATCCCTTTTTCCTCTTCATCCCTAGCTCCCTTCCCAGTCTACAAATTTTCTCTCTCTCTTTTTCTTATCGTCATTTATAGTTGCTCTTTAATTATTTACACTTTGAGTTTCTCACACAGAGAAACGACCTGCATGTTATTCTTGGGTCCTGGTTCTGGAAGCCCAATTATAAGTTCACTGGAAACACACTTGTGTCTGTTTTCTCTGCACAAAACATGTGTCCTTCCCGAATCTCGGTCCACGCCCCTTGCCCGTTCTCTGGAGGATCCACTCACACACTCCAGCAGATATAAGGCCTCTTCAGGGTGAAGCAGCTGCCGCCCTTCCTCCGAGAAACCCATGGTCTGCCAGAATTTACCCTGGGAGATGGAGAAAGTGTCACAAAGTATCTCCGGAGAGCATAGCAGGCAGGTCCTCCCGGCGCACCCACCGCTCACCGCAGGAGACTTTAGCTCCACCAAGCCCTCTTCCGGTCTCCACTCGGCGGCCACCAAGCTGCCCCTGGGGAGGGGGGGGAGTCCAGCTCGCTCACACCGCCCAGCCCGCCAGCGCGGCCCGCCCACCCCTCGCCCCGCCCCCTCACAGGCGCTCCACTCGCTCCTCGGCCAGCAGCTGCCAGAGCTCCTGACGGCACTGGCGCAGCCGCTCGGCTTGAGCCGCCGAGCCATCGGGGAGGAAGTCCTTGGGACCGTGCGACCTCTGGGGCAGCTTCTGGGACCGCGAGCGGGCGGCGAGGAGCTCCGGGGCGCTGGGGGAGAAGGGGAGGTGAAGTCGGCATTGTGCCTCGATGCAGTCCTGCCGGGTTCCGGACCCCGTTTCCCGCCCTCCACACCGTGCCCTACCTAAGCACGCGCCCCGCGGGAACCTCCACGGCCTCAAGCTCCGGCTCAGGCTCCATCTGGCCGCAGTCTGCGCCTGCGCGCTCGTGTGCCCCCGCCCACCAATGGAACTCCGCGGGGCCCTAGCGCCGGCCCAGGACGAGTGCTCCTCTACCCCTGGCTTTCCGCCCTCTTGGCTCTCTTGGGTCCTAGCGCCTGCCTACAGGCGTGTGCCTCGATTATGGAGACCGAGCTTAGTTTGCAGGTTTTTGCGTGTGCAGGAGCTCCTTTGTCCTGTCTCCAGCCCTCTTCGGGGCCCCTATTTAGTAAAACCTCAAACTGGCGTCTGGGTGTGTGGCACGAACAATCAAATGTGTGATCCTTCTCTCTGCAACCCCGGGCTTCTCAAACCACACCACCGTCAGACCAAGGAGGGAAGAGGGCGTAGAGAACGGAGACCGGTAGCTCTCGAATATGAGCTTTGTAAACTACAGTGGTCCAGAGAAATTCGGAGTTCCTCCCAGGCCTGCTCTTGGGTCCCGTCCGAGGGGTTCTGAAGCCCGCTTTCAAGGGTGGGAGGCGCTGTCCGGCCCACGCTGGTGCTGAAGCGCCACCCCAACCCTCCAACAGCACCTCCTCGAGGCTGGGGTCCTTGCCGCCGTCACCGTGGGCCGTTCCAACACTGTCCACTAGGTGGCACCATTGATCCAGCCAGTTTGTAGGCCGCTCTGGCTTGTAGGCTGAGGTCGCTGGGGGAGTCCTGCAAGCGGGAGCCAAAGAGGAAAACGGGCTCCCCAAGAAAAGGGTCTCCGGGGTTCTGTTGCCAAACCCTTTCACATCAGATCTTCTGCCCCATTCTTCGATCTAGACCCCTAGAGCCCAGTCCGTCCAGGACCCACCGTCTGGACACAACAGCACGAACTCCACCCACACGCTCCTTTTCACCTGTACGCATGCTCTGATGGGGCCCGCGCCTTGGTGGGGACTAGCGCGGTGGGGGGCGGAGACTGGTGCGGTGGGGGGCGGGGCAGAGGACCTGATTGACAGCCCGACTGCGCGGCCCGGACGGTCCCTCTCCCCATCCAGCAGGAGGGAGGGGGGAGGGGCGGGATTTCCTGCGGGAGGCTCAGAGTCGGCCTTGGAAAAGCAGCAGGAGGGACGGGTGGTGGGAGCTAGCGTCCAAAGTGCCAGGGACTGAGCGGAGCCAGCCGGACCCCCGGCGGGGAAGCGGGAGAGGTGAGACTGCGCGGCTGGAGCTGCGGGTTAGCACCCTTGGGGGCGGGCGCAAACTAACTTTTCTTGCGGGAACGATGGGTACCTTCATCTCTCTGCTTCTTCCGTCCTTTTCTCGACCCCCTTTTCATCCTCCCGTATCTATGCCTCCGGCGCTTGGCCCTGCCGGTCCTTTCCGCCGCTTTGTTCGCGGGTCGGCGTAGACTGGGCTCGGCTGGGGGGTGCGCGGCGCTGGTGGGGCATTCCGAGGGGCGGGGGAGCCAGCCGACCCCCGGCAGTGCGGCCGCGGGCCTTGAGGGGGAGTGTCCTCTGGGTTGGGTTTAGGACCTTAGGGAGTGAGGGGTTCCCCGCCAGGGCCCCTGCACAGATCTCCTGCCGCAAGACTGGCAACAAATTCGCAGCCACCGAAGAACTGACATACGCTGGTTCTGGCAGGAAGGTCGAACTCGGGTCAGGGCTTCAGGTTCAGGCTTGGGGGCCGTTGACCAGCAGTCAGTATTCTTTGCCCAGAGAGTGGTGAGGAGGGTCAGCAACAGGTGCCGCAGGGCCTCCCTGCTCAGCAGGCAGATTCCCCCAGAATTAGAGGCCCATCGACTCCTCGCGCTGCCCCCAGTTTGCAAAGGGCCGCTAAGCATCCAGCAAATAAAGTAAAAGCTAAGTAGGAAGGAGTGACCCCTGCTCCTCAGCCTGTGCCACCGTTCCAAGCCCCACCTCCTGGCCTGCCGGTTGTCTGTGGGTGTTGGAGCCTGGGGCTGTGGAGAACAGGCTGCTGGCCTGGCCTGCCCCAGTGTGTTGAGCTGCCAGGGCCTCTTCTGCCCAAGGTTGAGGTGCTACCCGTTGCCCTGGGGCCCCAGTGACTCAGCCTCCCCCTCCCTGCACATATTCTCAGGCTTGGCAGCTCCCTTGACATTTTGCATAGCTGAACCCTTCCTGACTCCGTGGGGCAACCAGGGTGGCTGAGTTGGGAGGGTCCCTGAAAATCCTGTCCTGCTCACCCTCTGTGCCTACCTTCTGGAATCCTTGCAGGCTGTAGCCCAACCTTCGACTGAGGCACTCCGTCTTTTCCAGATTTCCAGGACTTGTCCACTGCTGCTGCCCAAGGCGTGAGGGAATGCTGGCTGCTCTCAGGGTAGACACTGGTGCCCCTGAGCCAAGCCTGGAAGATTGGTGTTCCCAGTCCTGGCCCATTCCTGGGCTGTCGGAAGCTGCAGGCTGATACCCTTCCAGGTTTCTACACAGCTGCCACCTCCTCAGAGAGGCTTTCCTGCCTGTGGTGGCAGACTCCAGACGCATTCTGCCAGGACTCCCCCAAGACTAGGAGCCCTCCAAGGGGCTGAGGCATGACTCGCTGACACTCTGCTTGGACCAGTGTCCTTGTCTCAGCCTTGGACTCCCAAGCCTAGAGCCTGGCCTAGGAGCCGGGATGGGTAGAGAACAGGATCTAATTCTCGCTGTCAAGAATGGTGATGTGACCGGAGTGCAGAAACTGGTGGCCAAGGTCAAGGCCACAAAGACAAGTGAGTATTTACTGAGATGATCATCCCATGGATACCCTCTCCTTGGTATTAAGGCTATCGAGGCAGGTTTGGAGGGTGAGAAGGGGTCAATGTGATCTGCAGATTTGAGGAGGGAAAATGGTCTTGTTCAAGCAAGAAATGCATCTGAGTGAGAGAATCAGAAAGGAAGATGGGTCACTTAACCTCTCTGACCCACAGTTTTAATGTTTAATTTTTTTGACTGTAAAGAGGATTGAAGTAGGTTTATTCCATTTTTACTCAGTGTGTATTGTATGCTAGTATATGTTCAAAGTGCTAGGCCAGAACAGTGAACAAAACAGACCAAACTTCCAGCCTTTACCAAGTTGTTTAATGCAGGTGGCTTTCTAGATGTGTTCTTTGGTGCCATGAGGATTCTGGCAGTGGGTTTGGGAAAAACTGAGTATGCAGCGGCTGCATGCCCACACCCAGTCCCATATACACATCTCAAACAGCACATCTCTTGTGTTCTTTTCTGAATCTAACAAGGATGTCTGTATCTTTTAATAAGAGAGATGTTTTCGGTTTGCTTTAATTTCAACACTTTCTGACCACTTAACTAAAGCTTCTTCTCTCTGATGAAATCTATCTTTGTCCACCAAAGTGTGTGACTAAAGCTGGTTTTCCAGAGGTTTTCATGGCCTAGGGGTCCAGTCCTTACAGGACTGTGAGACCAAAGGCCTGCACTGTGCCCTCTCCTTGAATGACCATCTCTTGGGTCTCTGGTGGATAAACCCCCCCCACACACACACACCCCCAGGGAGAACAGGCCCTGGGCTCTGGGGTCGGGGGAGTAAGTGCTACTGGATTGTCACCATGAGATTCTAAACTGGCAAGGACAGCCACTGGTTCAAACTGGGACTGATAGGGGAGTTTACTGGAGGGGAAAGTCTTCTCTGGGTAGCCTCAAGACACAACTGAGCCCTGTGCACAGGAAGGAGTCCCCAGGCTACCTGGAGGCATCTTATTATCCCCACCCACACCTGAGGTGTGGGTGCTAGAAGGAAAGGTCATAATGGCTTGTGTCTACCTGCATGCCAGGCAGTAGGGCGGTGTGTACTTCCCCAGGGAAGTAGACCCAGGCTGAGCCTGATAGGAGGTCCCTGAAGACCAAGCCTGGGAGCCACTCTCCCGCCTTCCTTACCTCTATGTTCTTCTTGGCCACTTTCCTAGTGAGACCTTGGTCACCCTGCTGCTGGCCTTCCTGCCATGGAGGCTGATGGTGGGAAGCTTACGGCCAGGCCTCAAGGCTCTGAACAGGTCCCCTGTACCCAGTGGGAAACATCTGTGGGGGAGAGGCCCCCCCATTGAAGGGGAAAATTCACCTGCAAAGGAGCAGAGTGACAGGCCAGGACTGGTGAGGGTCTGGCACCATACCTTGGAGAGGTTGGTGACAGCATAAGGTTACAGGGGGACCTTTGCAAACTTGATAGTTTATGAGATGTTGTGGTCTCCTCACTTCTCTGTGAAATGTGTATTTCTGCATCCATTGTACAGATAAAGAGGCGCCCGGCAGTTAGTAACTTACTTAAGGTCACACAGCCGAGGTAGGGTGTATCTGAGACAAACCTGTGCCTCCTCCCCTGTGATTTCCACTCAGTTCTGTGCACATCACTATCACCCAGGAACCCAGCACTCTGAGAGGATGAGGCAAGAAGATTGGAAGTTCCTGCGCAACTTAATGAAACCCTGTCTTAGAAGAAAACTAAAGGGAGCTGGGACTTGTGAAAGTCCTGGGTCCAGTCTCCAGGACTGGAGTGAGGGTGGGGAGAATTTAAGGATTGTTTTAAAAGTCTAGATTTCTTGGACACCCTGCCATCAAATTAAAATCAGAAAGGGCCTAGGACTCTTCAACTTAGAAATTTATCCAGGTGATCCTAGTGGAGTTCTCTGATGGGAGATGGGGATCTTTGCTCCACACTACAGAGAGGCAAAGGTAACTGCCTGGGTGTCAGGGCTCCCCCTCTTCCCTCCTGCGCATGGCTATAGGTCTCTGGCTGCACAGAGAACAGGAGAGAGGTGTTCCTCAAGTTCCTCCAGTCAGGAGCCAGCCTGTACCCCTTCCTGCCAGGTCCACCTCAGGGAGCAGGTGACCTAGCCTTGCCATACCCCTGGCCTTTCCTGCCTCTTTTCTGAGGACTCTTCTGGCCAGAGGAAATGGAGTGGGGTAGGGTGGCCAGCTGAGCTCACATCCTCTGTCTGAACCTAAGTCAGAGACATTTTAGGAAAGAAGGTGTGCTGTTGTGGAGCTGCCTGGAATCAGAACTCTCCACCCTTCCTCCCCAGTCCTCGGCCCGGGCATGCAGAGCCTCTCCCCCACCACCTTTCCGGCTATTGTTCTGGAAAGAACGGAGCCACCCAGCCTGGCCCTACCCCTGTTCCTGTGTCCCTCCTGTCACATTGTCCTGCACCTCCCCTAGAGGGGTGACGGTGACATCTCACCAGCCAACTGCCCCATTCCAGTGTGGAGGCTGGTGGAAGTGTGAGTGTGCCGAAGGACCGTGTCTCTTCCTGGAGGACCTCTGTCTTCGCTAGTACTCAGAGAGAGATCATGGTTTATGAAAGTCACACAGCAGTAAAAGACAGAGAGTATTTCAGCTATGCTTCCTGAGTACCTTACATGACTGCTGCTTTGCAAAGGGACAAAGGGAAAGCTGAGAGGTCTGAGTTTCCTCCCAGTGGCCCCAGCCACTTTGCTCTCCAACCTCCTCAGCTCTGTATTTACCTTTTTGGATCAGAGTCCTTCAGCAGAGCCCACGTGTAGCTATTCCCTCCTCCCCACCCCACTGCAAGTTTAGTCCCTCCCTGTTGGAATGAGGCCCTGCCTTGTCCAGGCTGCCGGGGTATTCAGGGGCCCGCCAGGGCCTGGGGGGCAGGCCTGGACCAGCCTGCTTGGCACCCTGCCTGGCCTGGGCTGAGCCAGGCCCTCTCCCAGCAGGGGTGGGTTCCAGCAGGAGGCAGGGGCTGTTTGTGACAGGCCTTCTCCTCTCCCTCTCCTGCACCTCAAGGACCACCTTCCCCTGCTCTGGCTGCTGTAGGGAGCTCACCTTTGTGCACCTGCTGTGGGGAGGCAGTGCCTCAGCCCCTCTGCCTGGAACCGACCCTACAGCTCAGCCAAGAGCCTGTGGGTGCTGAGATGGCTGAGAACCCACAGAGATCCAGGGAGATCAGGGAGGATTGGTACCTGCTCTTTCTGGAGGATAACATGGTGCTAA